GTCACGATAGTCTTAAGTGCTTCACGATAGTGACATAACTCTACAGAAAAAATTATTTAAATTGAAAACGTTAATTAATATTAATATTATTAATTTTGTAAATTGGTGAAGAAACTGTTAATAAAAGTTTTATTTCATTATTCATGTTATGCTCAACAACATGTGAGAGCTAAAATGTTCCACCATTCACCAAATGTCAGTAAAAACACATGCATTATATTCATTCAGTGATAATAATATAATACCTGGAGACTCTTTATTAATAATAATCTTTCCTAAAAATAAAAGAAACTTCATATAAGACAATACATAAATTATATATCAAAGCTTGTGTCATGTAAAACCACATAAAAATAGATACGATGTATTAAAATAATAATAATAATAATAATAATAATAATAATAATAATAATAATAATGATGATGGATCGGGTATAAATCCACTATTCATCGGGTATGCAGCTACATAAACAATTCTTCACCTACCCCTAACTTAATTTTATCTATTGTGAACATTCAACATTGTATGACTTAAATTATTTTATTTTATTTTTATTTGCCTCAACTCTTTTGTCTCTTTCTCTCATTTTTTGACTGAAATTTTATTATAATAATAATAATAATAATAATAATAATTAGCTCTAATTAGTTTTTGTTTTTGGGTTATAATAATAATAATAATAATAATAATAATAATAATAATAATAATAATAATAATAATAATAATAATAATAATAATAATAATAACTTACTGATATATTTAGCTGCTGCTTTCTCACCAATGTCCTCAAGAGCATCAGATAGAGAGAACATTGTTGGACCTCCTTTGTCATCAACACAATCAGCTCTCTCTAGCCATTTCACTAGACACTGCAGACATCCTTGTTCATCTCCAGGATACTCAGCCTCAATAGCCTTCAGTGTAGAACCATATAATCCTAAAGCATCACCAAGACGGTTCCATTCCGTCTGTGAGAAGCGAGTTTCATTCAATGTGTCAAGTAGATACTGTAAATCATTAATGTCTAAGAGAGGACCTATGGAGTAATAGAACATAAATTATTAAAATCATAAGGATAGTTCATGGTATGTGTCAATAACCAATTAAATCATTATTTACTAATTAAGGCGAACTTGAGCAAGCCCCACTGTAGCAGGAGTCTTCTGTATGCATGTATGTATGTATGTACGTCTCCAGTCACGCCCATCTTCTGGTCACGCCCCATGTGTGCACTACTATCTATTTATCTGTCAATGATCTAATGCGGTAGCATCATTCTAATGAAATATTGTAAAAACACATCTGCATGTATGAAGCAAGATGAAAGCTCAAGATCAACCTCAGCAACCTAGCTAGAAGGACGCTCTTCTTCATGCTCAGAGGGTTATGACAGTGTCCCAGACTCAAGATTTAACTAGAAAAGCAGCCTAGCTAGCAGCAGAGTCAGTGCAATACCACGACTGACTCAAGCTCACCTCATTAATGCATTGCATTTGACTAGTACAATACTTATACTACTGAAGGTATGAATATCATTATATTAGTACTAGCATTGTGAGTAGTGTAATGGGTGTGGTTATTAATACTAGACCACACCCCTCCAATCTATTTTACCTCTTCTCAATGTCCTTCTAATGTCCAATGTATAACGTTTAACCATACCTTCCACTGGTATAGTATAATGTAGTCTAAGAACAGCATCAGGTGTAGCATGTACTGATATACTGCAGGAAGGAGGGTCAGGATAACCAGGTGTACCAACCTTATCAACATCACTTCTATATATCTATTGATACACACACGCACATTAATTATATATATATATGATACAAGTACTTCATGTACTTACTCTACAAGGTACTGTGTGAGGTTTAATAATCCATCCAGTGGTTGGTTCATCTTGTGGAGTATCAAACTGTAATTCAATATAATCGCCTCTTGATGTAAGTGAAGAGTCTTGCTGGACAAATCTAAAGGTGATAGGTAGACATATCACAGCTCCAGGGTGCTTCCTTTCAGCATACTGTAAATAAACACATTAATACACATCATGTACATAATATACCTCATTATAATATACTTACATCATCGAGTGTGTCTTCATCTTTAGTTACAGTAAATGTTGCTACATATTCATTTAAATCGGCTTTCTCCTCATAAAATAAGTATCCTTCATATTTAGTATCCCTTCCTTTTCAGACAAAAATTATTCAAAATTAAGAACATTAATTTATAAATAATGAGGGTAATATTATTACCCTAAACCTTTGTCCTAGAAAAGCTAAGAAAACTTCAAGCTTTTTCCTGTTTAAAAGCTGCCATGTTTTGCTATGGCTATACTCATTTTAGGACCTGGGGGTCATAAGCAATAATTTCTTTTTCAGTCACATACACATGTACATGTAAGTAAAAGAAATTAACCATATAGCATCATGAACAAGGCAGTTCACACACTTAAGGCTTGTAAGTCACTGGCTAGTTTGTCAATTAATGTGTTTGTAATACCTGGTTCTATTAGATCATCAAAATTACTTGCATTCTCTCCTACAAAAAAAGAAAAAAATTTATTCTTTACTTGAAGAATGTAAAACAATAGTGACTCCACCCAACTAGGCAGAAACTGTTACAAATAATTAACAGAAAGATTCTTGCCACTTGTAATGAGCACTGAACCATTTAATATATGTGATGTAAATATAACTACATACCCGTTTTTGAAAGTAATTTATCTAGCTTAGCCTTTGCTTTGCCCAGTTCATCAGGATAGTCATCACAAAGTTCTTTTAAAGCATCCCAACTGACATTTTCATTGGCTTCAAACCACCTCTCAATTACTGTAATAAGGTTATTCATTGCTGTGTCTTTCAGATCAGACACTTTTACACCCAATCCAGTCCCTATCAGTCTGTAATGGTCAGCAGAAGTATAGAATATTTTTGTGACTACAGCATTATTCAGCTCCTTGCCTGTGGATTTAAAATATTTTACAAATTAGTTCATCCTGCATACTGTAATACTGGTTTATTTGTGCGGTAGAAAATTTTCGTGAATCTTGCATTTCTAAGATTTCGAGGAATTAATTTTCGCGAATAGCTTGCAGACTACACACATGGCAATGGAGATGTAGAATTTCGTGGTGGAAAATTTTTGTAATGGAGCAAAAACCGCAAAATTCGCAAAAATATTTTGCCACAAAAATAAACCAGTATACGGTAATACATATACACACACAAGATTGTTCTTTAAAAAACGATTTTTAAAATGAAAAGATAAGTATTTGTTTAACAACATACTAGGACTTTTAGCTTCTTGATGAGAGCCAGTGCTTCCTGTATCAGATACACTTCTTTGTGGAGTACCTTTACAATTAATACATTAAACTAGTATCAATGAATATTAATGTATTTTACTTTGTTTTGTAGGAGAAGTTGACTCATCATTAGAAGTGGGAGTGTTTGGTGTACCAGCTGTGGAAAAAAATAAAAATGCATGTACATTAAATTAGTGTTGATGAATACAGCTACTTGCATAGACCTTGCAAACTGCCAAGTAGGTGGTAATGTGACCACACAATGCAAGACACACCTCAATTTAGACATTCCCTTTGAAGTTTATAGATTGGTTTATGAATTGGTTTGCAAGGTTTGTGCAATTTACTGTACTAAACTACTAATGTATTTTACTTTGTTTCGTAAAGAAACAGAAAAATGAAATGAGTGTGATGCACATTAACGTGTAACAGACTGTTGCAACAACAATCTAGATTAGGTCTACCTAACAATAGTGGTATGCTAAATACAGGATGCATACAACAGCTGCAATGGCACCAGCTGAAAAATAGTGGTGGGCGATACTGGCCAAAATGGATTCGATACGATACTGATCAATATCAACTCATATCGGGAGTACTGATCAGGGGCGGATCTAGGATTGAATTTTTGGGTGGGCACTGATGATGTAGGTGGGGTAATTAGTGGGTGTGGCCAACAAATTCTGCATTGAAAGTCAAAATTTTGAAGATTTAGCCAGTTAAAATGAGCTCCTTTGTGGTTTACAAATTGTTTTTATAGTCATGCTTCACAGTTTACATAGTAGTTTACATTAAAAAGTTAATTTTAAATTACTGCACAAAATTTTTGGGTAGGCCTGGCCCAGCCAGGCCCACCCTTAGACCCGCCACTGGTACTGATACAGTTTTAATGATATCTAGACCACACCTACAGAGCCACACCTTTTATTATTGACTGTGTTCATTGATGTTTTCATGCACGTGTATCCACGTGTGTGTATTTACGTCATTAACTTATTAAAAATTTCTTTGTTAACCTTAATACCCATATAGAAAAAACAAGGTTGCGGCATGGTTGTGGCAACCTGGTAACAAGGTTGTTGTTGCTAGGTGGTCACTACCTGGCCACAAGGCCCACCACCTTGTAATGTATCTATGATACACGTAGCTATTGTATAAAGTTGTGGATGTGTATTAATGCTATCATTATTGACTTGTACAGGCTGGTCAATGGTCCCCTTACATATGGTAGCAATAGCTTCATATCATTGTGGGGCGCACTTAATGAAACCTCAGTTTTCTGCCAACCTTTGGACAACCTTGTCACAAGGTTGTTATGTTTGTAACACGTTATTCACAACTTCAGCACTTCTTATACAAGGTTGTCACTAGGTTGCTCACAACTTTATTACTTTTGTACAAGGTTGTTACCAGGTTGCTACAACCTTGTGAGGTTAATTGTAAACCGGTTGTAACAAGCTTGTAGCAAGCTTAAAATTTCTATATGGGTAGTCGGGCATTGTCAACATATCAATCTAAATTTTTCAAAATTTTGATACCGATACAAATCAATACTGTAAAATATCGCTTGTATCGATAAAATATCAATATATCGCCTACCACTAGTAAAAAATAATATAATTAATTTTCACTTTCACTAGCAAAACTAGCTCCACTTTGAGGAGGATGGACAGTAGCAGTGTCTTCTCCTAATGTGAACACAAAAGGTTAACATTCACTGACTTATGTAAATGTACATACCTAGTTCTGTAAGCATAAAATTTCCTATCTGTTTCATTGCTGCACCTTGCTGAATCAAAATATTACACACATCAGTTAAATACTGTCTTTCATCAAAAAAAGCTTCTAACTGACCCATGACATCAGTCATTACTCTATCAGCTTTATCAGGATTAGCTGCTGTCACTACATATTCTCCAGTCCCTTGTGTTATTAGATCCTTGGCAAACAATGCTTTAGCTACATCACCAACATTAGCTGATATTGCCTTGGTTAGCTTAGCTGAGTATTTCTGTAGTATCTCCTTTGGGATTCCTAAAGTTTAAATAATAATAACTATGGCACAAAAATTATTATGAGGCTGCCTTTACCAGGTCCTGGGTTGAGTTCAACATCACCTGACATGAGGAGGAGGAGAGAGAAGAGGGCCTTTATGATAAGAGTATATACCAACAACTTTGGCATTGTATTGACTTCCATTGTATGGACTGACAGTTGGTCTATATAGTAGAGATTCATAACTTGACACTTAACAGCATACCAAAGAGAAAAACAGCCAAGATAACTCCCACACAAATGACACACCAAGAATACCAAAAATAGCTCTACT